CTTCCTTTGCAACCGTGGGCTTGCATTGATGCGATGTATCGCGTCAGTGATATCCTCCTCAAGCACGCCGTGCTGCGCCACGGTCGGTGCCATGCACCACGGACGCCCTCTCCCCCAATCAGCCTCAACAACCTGGGAAAGAACAGAGTCGAGATGGCGAATCTTGATTGCGAAGTCTTACGGTCTTGGGGTAGGCGTGGTGGGGCGGGGCGGGGCGGGGCGCGCAGGACGCACAAGGGAGTGGCTGTCGGTCGGTAGCGGATGTGATGTGGGACGTCCGCAAGGCTAGCGGAGGCTCTGTGGGGGTCCTCCTCTAAGTCTTATCATTTATTTATATGGAAAATTGCTGTTCCGTTTATTATCTTAATTTTCAAAAGATTGGCGATTATGCCATTTGTTTCTAACGTCAAGCGTATCGGCATGTACTCACTACAGCTAACCGTCACAACAAGGCGACGTGGCGTCCGGGGGAGCGTAAGAATTGGATTATAGGAGCTTCCCCCTCCGCCCCTCGCCGTGTTTGCCTATGGAGTCACTTAAGCCCTTCCCGCGCCCCGCCCCGCCCCCTGCGTCTGGCCCGCGGCGACCGGCGGGCCCGATATGGTCCGTATCGGAGAAGGGAAAGGAGCTGCAACGGCGCTTGCTTGTTGCATTATAATGCTAGGCCCCCCCGAGGGGGGGGGGGGTGACGTCATTTGGCGACGGTCCCCTTATAAGGCAAGTGGCACTGCCCGTCTACTCCTCGACTGACTCTGTCTGTCGCTGTCTTTTACCGTGCACACGCTGACGGGTGTCGCGCCGCATGGGACGAGTGCCAGCAGGTGCAAATACCGAACCGGAAGTTGAGTTCCGCAAACTCCAAACTCGAAATAAATCATTTACCGATCCTGAGGGGTGAGTTGTCGAGCAAAGGCGTGACCCGAAGCGTGTTCGCTGAGTTCCTTATCGCTGAAAATACACAACAATCGCGCAAAAGAAAGAAACGGTGAAAATGATAAATATAAGGAACCGAACCCAGATGATTTTCGCTTGTCGCAGCGGCAATATGTATATCGGGTATCGGAAATGGGGTGAAGGTGTGGCCCGAGCCCGAACGCTTTATGGGGAAGTAGAGTAGTGACAGTGGCCGACATCGCTTATCGGGGAATAAAGAGAGAACCTCCCAACATCCGATAATTTGTTGTCCGCTGCAAACGATTCCGTCTTCGCAGTCACCCCCACCACCCCGTTCACTTTTTTCTATACGCCCGTCTTCTCCTTTTTTTTCCAGAGTTCCAAATGAAACGGACGAGAGAGAATACGGGGTGTAGGGGGCGGGTGGATCAGGATTTGGGTAAGACGGGAGGGAGGAAAGCTGCTGCTTCACGTTCGCTGCCTCGTTCGCTGCGAATTCGTTAACTGCTTCGCTTCGCTCGCCCGTCGTGTTCACCACCCCCTCCTGCTCCCCCCTCCCCTCACCTCCCCCTGACTAATGACCCCCTCCCCACCCCCCCTTTTCCGCATCGCCATCATTAGGAATGACCCACAAATGATTTAGCTATGGCGCGTCGTCGCGTCGCAGTGGGCTTTATTTTAATTCGAGGGTTTTTGTTTTCGAGCCGAGAGCGAGCCTAGGCCGCGGTAGTGGGTCAGGGGTCGAGGTCACGCGTTGTGGGTGGGCGGCTGCACAAGCGTGTGGCTCTGCCGGTGGCTCGTTACACACTTGCCGAGCGAGTGTGGTTATTTAAATTTGACACAAACAAGACAAAGACTAAAGGTGATGATAAATTAAACACCGCAAGCTTTGATTCCTGCGCCCTTTGGTGGTTTATTTTTTTCATGCACCCCGCGTTCTCTTGACGGGACCCTCCCGAGGGCTAAACACCCCCCCTTGACAATCAATGTGAGGCCACTGGAGCCTTTTTATTGCGGGCGCCACTGAGCCCTAGCTTCCTTGCCCTTCCTCGTGGCCCCGCCCCGCCCCACTCGGTCGCAGTCGAGCGGTGCCCTCTCCCCTCTCTGCGTGCGCTGAATGTTACCGGGGGAAAAAAGAGGGGTAGGGGGGGTGGACCTGGGAAATATTAAACACCCAAAGAAATGGCAGGGGTAGAAGAAAACTTCCTTGTTTTGCGCGTGCGCACGGCTTAGTTTCCCTGATTTTGTTAAGCCTTTTAAGGTGAGGCTTGCATCATTATTTTACGCAACGAAAGGTTGTCAAGAATGTACCTCAATTCAAGTACCAGGTGGCTGGTTTACGCCACGCACTTCCATAGTTATACTGTACCGCATGCGGGCGGGCGGGCCGGTCGCCTACTCGCACGGGGCTATAAGGAGCCGCGGGCAGCGAGCATAGGCAAACGCGCCCGCACTCGTCCATGCGGTACAGTATAACTGTGAAAGTGCGCGGCGTGAATCTGCCATCTGGTATGTTTATGTTCGCCTGTAACATTGCGAAAGTGCTGCACCACAGCGAATTCGCCTTAATTTGCGCATCCTTTGGGTTAGTAAAAATAAGGTCAACTAATTTTTATAAAAGATTTTTTGTTCGTAGTTACAACAATAATGGACTTCCTTTGCAACCGTGGGCTTGCATTGATGCGATGTATCGCGTCAGTGATATCCTCCTCAAGCACGCCGTGCTGCGCCACGGTCGGTGCCATGCCCCCCCCCCGCCTCGCCACACTCCACACCAATCATGGCGGGATCGATCTTCCTGGGAAATTGAAAGTTGTCGGTGTGGAGACCCCTACCCTACCCTACCGTAGCCTGCGGAGGAGGCGCGCGTGAGCGTGAGAGAGCGGCGCGCAGCGTGCAGCGCGCGGCGCGGAGGGAAAGGAGCTCTGGGCGCGTCCATATAGGCAACCCGCCCACACCTCTGCGTGGCGGCACAGTGCAACCACGGAAGTGCTACCTGGTGTACTTACACACCCTGAGCAGCTGGAGGGAGGATGGCGACGTTCGGGAAGAGAAAAAGAATCATCCGCGTGATGATGATAAATAACGGAGCACACTTAATGTAAAAGAAAATAATAATGAAAATAATAAAAAATGCTGGCGGTGATGATGATGAGGAGAAGAGCCTCTCTCCCAGCGCCACCCCTCCCCTTTCGCCGAACGTGACGCCTTCCTCCCCTTACCCTTTCTCTCTCTCTCTAGCATTGTTACACACACTCGCTCTCTCGCACGCACGCACTCTGCTTGTTATTTCCCCCCTCGTTTTGTCGTGTTGCCTGGCGTTTATTTATCGCTGTGTTGGCATTGTGGATGAAGAGGGGGTGGGGGGTCTCTCCCGGACACATACCTCTACGAGGGGGTTGCGCGTGTGTGTGTGCGCGCGCGCTGGGGGCTGGAACACCCCCTCCCCCGCACGCCCCACCAGGCCGCGCCCATACGCACCCCGCGGAGCTTTTCAAGGAGTGTTTATCCAGGGTCACTGTTGGGTGAAAGCGGGAGCTCGGGCCACAGCCTTACGGATGGGGCAACCAACCCCTGCTCGGCTTACACCTCCGAAATAAGGTGTTGCAGCCAGGGCACGGCTCCCAAATGGAAAAATATTCAGGCGATGCACTGAAAAAACATGCCGGTTGAGTCAACTCGTAACTCGGTTCCCCCAACCGAGCCGCGCGGTTAATTTCCGACCCACTAGAAACTCGGTTGGGAGAACCCACACTGTGGGTTGTACTCGTCTGGTTACAGTGACCGCACAGAGATAGTTGTGACAACCAAGTCTGAACGGTCCAAAAAGAAAATAGAAATCGATTAGCGTTACCGCCAGGATACCCCCTCCTTTCCGACTGATCACCTCTCCCTCCGACGGGCACCTCACAGAGGCCGATTGGCTCTGGCGCCGTCCGGGATTTGAACCCCGGACTTTGTCATTACTGGGCCTCCGCGATACCCCGAAGCCATTGCGGCGCGTGGGAGGGAGGAGGCAGGACAACGAACACATGTCCCAGCGGGCGGG